GGTGCAGCCCCCAAGTCCCTGCTCTGAACGCCGGGCGGCCCCGCACCGGGCGGCCCGCCAGTGTCGGAGGTTGGAGCGCGCCCCCTGGCGGCGGCCCAGAGCGGCGCTCGTAGCCCGCGGGGCCCCGAGCCGAGTAGGTGCGGCACGCAGAGCCCTTCCTCGCGCGCCCTGTACTACCTCCCCGGCCACGCCCACTTCTTTGAGCCCGTACTGCCCGTTTATGGATACTCAGGCCTGTAAGGGGAGGGGAAGGAACCCTGCTCATTATCTCCACTGGCCAGACACAGGAGCGGTTCAATACCTGTTAGCGGGATTCATTGATTTTTGGAAGAAAGCAGGACTTTCCATATAAATTCTTCAGTTTTCCAGAACATGCTAACCATGGTTAAAACCCAGTCAGTGTATATTGTATTTAAAGAAGGTGTGTGCTGGAAACCAAAATAGAAGCTAACTGAGCACTTGTTTTGTGCCAGTCCTGGGATCTTCAGAAACTTTATAAGTTATACTACTCACATTTATTACCCATATTTTATAGATGAGGAGAAGGTCTAGAAAGTTAAGTGGTGGAGCCAGGATTCAAAGGTGTTACGTACTTAACTAGGTTGATTTATAAAATGTATCTGATTTATGGAGTTACAATAACTTTGAAATAATGCTTTAACTTGAAATAATTTATTCCTTGATTTTTCTTTTTATTGTACTTTAGATGAAGGTTTACAGAACAAACTAGTTTCTCATTAAACAGAACACAGATTGTTTTATAACATTGTCAACCCCACAACATGTCAACACTCTCCCTTCTCGACCTTGGGTCCCGTTACCAGCTTTTTTCCTGTTCCCTCCTGCCTTCTAGTACTTCTCGTCCTTGCCCCTGGGCTGGTGTGCCCATTAAGTCTTGTTTTGTTTTATGGCCCTGTCTAATCTTTGGCTGAAGGGTGAACCTCAGGAGTGACTTCAATACTGAGTTAAAAGAGTGTCCGGGGGCCACACTCACAGTGTTTCTCGTCTCCGTCAGACCAGTTAACTCTGGTCGTCTTTTGTGAGTTAGAATTTTGTTCTACATTCTTCTCCAGCTCTGTCCAGGACCCTCTGCTGTGGTCCCTGTCAGTCTGTGGTGGTAGCTGAGCACCATCTAACTGTGCTGGACTCAGTATGGTGGAGGCTGTGGTAGTTGTGGTCCATTAGTCATATTTAAACGCTTTAACAACACAGATTTATCACCTTACAGTTCTGGAGGTGAGAGGTCCAACACAGGTCTCACAGGGCTAAAGTCAAGGTGTTGGCAGGGCCATTTTCTGGGGGTGAAATAATGTTTTAGCTTTGAAATAGTAGATGAAACTACAAAAGAAGTAAAAATAACAGCATAGAGAAAATATTAGCCTCAAAACGTCACATTCAACATGGTTAAAATCTATACGAGGAGCTCATTCAAATTTATTAGAGAAAATCTAAACAGCCAAATACAATAAGGCTATGAACAGATATAGGAAGTTACACTGAGGTGTTCCAGAACTTGGAAATATAATTTCCCTCTGAGAGTGAAGCCAGAAATAATCGGTGCACGAAGGGAGGATCCAGCCATTCATGGAAGTTTAATGGGCCAATAAATCATCTGCAAATGCCTTGCAAGGTGTATAAATCCAGTCTAGATGAACGATACAGTCTCAGGAAGATGTGATTGAGAGGAAAAGAAAACGTGACTTCATTTCAGAAGATAGTCTACAGAATCAAGAAAAGGAGAACAACAACAAAAAAAATCAGGCATCATGTCCAGCGTTGTCCAGCGGTGACAAACACACAGGAGTGTTCTGGTCACTAGAGAAATGTGCACCATTTGGAGAAAAGGGGTGAAATTGACCAGACTTGTCCACAACTGAAAGGAGATATCCTTCAAGACTAGCCAAGTCTGAGGGCTCTGATTCCATTCTCATACAGCAACATTCTAATGGCCATATCATATCCTGATGAGTAGAAACGTGTTCTGGTTGTATTTGAGTACCAGGATTATTGGAACATTGGGCCTCCTACTATAAATTAATAACTTCACATCTGGTGACTTTAATTATTGTGGTAGATTGTATTTTTCAAAACAGTTGCAGTAATACCTATCCTACTTGTTCTACAATGTGACCTTGATGCTCCTTCCATGGAGAGATAAAGTCTATGACCCTTCCTTTGAATCTGGACCAAACTTGGTGACTTGATTATAACCAGTTGAAAGCAGAAGTGATGCTGCATAATCTCTGAGGCTAGATCAGAAAAGGTCATATAACTTTTACCTGATTTTCTTTGAATATTCGTTCCTGGATCCTTCAGGGGCAAGGTAAGCTGTTCAACTGCCTTGAGGCCACCATGTTGTGAGGAAGCCCAAATTAACCCATGGAGAGATTACTGGAAAATACCTGACACTAAATAAACAGAAAGATGCCAGTCCAGCTCCCAGCTGCTAACTCCCCCCGCCCCCTCCAGCCTGACTGCCATCACATGAAAGAGCTCCAGTCAGAGCTGCTAAGCCCTTCCTGAATTCCTGATCCACAGAAACTGAGAGAATAAAATGCTCAGTGTTTCATGCCATTAGGTTTGGGGTAGCTGTTCTGCAGCAATAGGAACAGAACAGTTATGACTGTGATGGTTAAGTTTGTGTGTCAACTTGGCTAGGCCATGATTCTCAGTGTTTTAGCAGTTGTATAATGTTGTGATCACTTCCGTGTTGAAATTTGATATGTGATCACCCCCATGATGGAATCTGCTGAGTGGTACTGGCGGGGGCAGGGCTTGTGGCAGCTCACTGCCCCCTCAGCTTCATCTCTCTGCCTTTTGCTGGTTACTTTCTGCCTGCTCGCCTTGCCAAAGTTTTTGTCTTGTTCCAGGCTCAGCAGCTGCCTCTTGTTGTCTCACCTCCGGTTCTTGGGACTTGAGCTAGCAGCTTACCTGTCGACCTTGGAATTCGTCAATCTTCACAGCCTGTGAGCAAGGGTCCTGTTCCCTGACCTGCTGATCTTGAGTTCGCCAGCCCCTGCAGCTACATGAATCAGGAGAAACCTTGCGGTCTTGTCTGCTGATCTTGGAATTTGTTGACTTTCACAGCTTGTGAGCGGGAGTCCTGCTCTCCGACCTGCCAACCTTGGGTTTGCCAGCTTCTGCGGGTGTGTGAATTGGGAGAGGCCTCTACCCTGATCCATGGACTTGGGACGTTTTAGCCTCTACAATTGTGTCAGCTGTTTCCTTAATATAAATCTCTCTCTAGATATTTATACACTTTACTGGTTTTGCTTCTCTAGAGAACCCAGCCTAAGACAATGAGTCAGTCCTCAAAAAAAAAAAAAAAAAAAGAAAATGCTGGGTTTTAAGCCTGTGAAGCCAAGAACCAGACCCTGAACATGGGCGCCCCCTCGGCAGCTCTTGGGTAGCCAGATGACTTGCCTAACATCTCTATTTCCTTGCTCTTTAACCTTAACACAGAAATGCAAATTAAAGCAATATTAATGTACAAAATCACATCTGTTGAAAGAAAACATTTTAATCTTCAATTATTACACCCAATAATGACCACATTGTAGTGCAATTGTTATATTCACATATTGTTGGCGACATATTTTTGGAATGAAGATATTTCTATCTTTCCACCTAATAGTTTTCACCCCTTAGGATAATCTAAAAGGAGAAAGAATTTATATGAACAAAGATATTGTCTTAGTTACCTATTGTTGTTAGGTGCCATCAAGTTGGTTTCCACTCATAGTTATGACCCTATAAGACAGAGCAGAATTGACCCATAGGGTTTCCAAGGAGTGGCTGGTGGATTTGAACTGTCAACCTTTTGGTTAGCAGCTGAGTTCCTAACCACTATGCAACCACGGCTCCTACAGGGTTCTTAGTTACCTAGTGCTGCTATAACATAAATAACCACAAGGGGATGGCTTTAACAAACAGATTTATTCTCTCAGTCTAGGAGGCTATAAGTCTGAATTCGGGGCACCAGCTCCAGGGTAAGGCTTTCTGTTTTGGGAAAAGGTTTTTGTCATCAATCTTCCCCTGGTCTAGGAGCTTCTCAGCACAGGGATCCCGAGTCCAAAGGATGCACTATTCTCCTGGCTCTTGTTTCTAGGTGGTATGAGGTCCCTCTCCTCTCTGCCTGATTCTCTCTTTTATGTCTCAAAAGAGACTGACTCAAGATACAACTTAGTCCTGTACATTGTATCCTGCCTCATTAACGTAACTGCCACTAATACTGCCTCATTAACATCATAGAGGTTAGGATTCACAACGTACAGGATAATGACATCAGATCACAAAATGGTGGACAACCACACAATACTAGGAATCATGACCTAGCCAAGTTGACACACAGTTTTAGGGGACACAATTCAATCCATAACATTCCACCCTTGGACCTCAAAAATTCATGTCCTTCCCACATGTAAAACACATTCACCCCATCATATGATCCTGCAAGTCTTAAAGTCCAAATTCCATCCTGGGGCAAAATTCCTCTTCATCTGTGAAATCTAGAATACAAGTTATCTGCTTCCAAAGTACAATGGTGGAACAGGCACAAGGTAAATATTTCCATTACAAATGGGAGAAATTGCAGTGAAAGAAGTGGTAACAGGTACCAAGCAAGTCAGCAGAACACACTACATTAGCTCTCAAGACTTGAAAATTATCCTCTGTTCTCTGAGACCATTTAGGCAATGGCCTTGCCCTCTAGACTCCAGGACTGGCCACATTCTCCTGATTCTGGGTGAAGGCCCCTTGGCCCTGGGCTTCAGCTTCGCCTTCCAGGTCCACTGGGACAGCAACTCTGCTCCCTTGGATTTGGGCAGCTCCATTCTCCTAGTCCATGTGAGTGGCAATCCTCCCC